TTATGTTGTGTAATAGTTTCTGCAAGATAGGTACTAGTTCTTCTTTGTAAGTGTGGTAAAATTCGCGTGTGAAACCATCTGGACCGGAACTTTTCCTTTTAATTGCTGTTTCTATTTTAGCTCTTGAGATTGGTCTGTTCAGGAAGTCTATTTCTTCCTGATTGAGCCTAGGGAGGCTGTGGTGTTTCTGAATCTGTGCCATTCCTCCACATTTTCCAGTTTGTGTGAATAAAGATTTTTGTAATATTTATAAATTATATTTTGTATTTCCTTGGTATCAGTTGTGATATCTCCTTTTTTGTTCCTGATGGAGCTTGTGAGAGATTTCTGTTTTCTGCTTTTCATTAGCCTTGCCAATGGCATGTCAATTTTGTTTATTTTTTCAAAGAAGCATCTTTTTTTAAATTAATCTCCTGAATAGCTTCCCTGTTTTCAATTTCGTTTAGTTCTGAATTGATCTTGTTGATTCACTTCTTCTGCTGGGTTGGGGTTGGTCTGTTCTTCTTTTCCAGCCTTTGAGTCGTTCTTCATTAGATTGTCTATTGCTGATCTTTTTGACTTGGTTATAGGTTTATGGACATAAACTTTCCTCAGAACTGCTTTAGCTGTGTCCGAATTTATAACTTGGTCTCTCCATTGTCATTCTTCATAGAATTTTTAATTTCCATCTTTTTTTTCTTCATTTATGAAGTAATCATTAGTAGGAGGTTGTTTAATTCCACATTTTGTGTAGAAATTGTGAGATTCTGTTAGGGTTGATTTTACTTTCATTCCATTGTGATCTGAGGAAGAATACATGGTATGATTTCTATTTTTTAAAATTTCTTGAGGCTTACTTTGTGTCCTAGGATATGGTCAGTCTTAGAGAATGTCCCATGAGCTAATGAGAAGAACGTATATTCAGTGGATTTTGGGTAGAATGTCCTGTAAATGTCAGTCAGACCCAATTGTTCTAGAGTTTAGTTTAAGTCCATTATTTCTTTATTGATTTTCTGTTTGGAGGATCTGTCTTGTGCCGTCAGTGGGGTGTTGAAATCTCCAGTGATTATGGAGTTGCTATTAATCAATTTACTTAGATCCAGTAAGTTGTTTTATGAGTCGGTGCACCTAATTGGGTGCATATATATTTAAAATTGTTATCTCTTCTTGTTGAACTGTGCCCTTCACCATTATATAATGATCATCTATGCCTTTCAGTACTTTTGTTGGTTTAAAAACTAGATCTTCTGAAATTAGAACGGCCATGCCAGACTTCTTTGGCTTCCACTTGCTTGGGAATACTGATCTCCACCCTTTTGGTCTGTATGCATCCTTGCAGGTTAGATGTGTTTCCTGAAGACAGCATATACTTGGGCCTATATTTCTTATCCATTCAGCCCAGCCATGTCTCTTGAGTGGAAGAGTTTAAGCCATTCACATTTATTGAGAGAACTGATAAGGTAAGTAGATTACTGTTCATTCTGTTGGGTTGGATGTTGTTGTTTTTGATTTCTCTCTTGATGCCATTGTAATATCTCGCCTTAATCTTTGGGTTTTGGTTGTTTTTATTTTCATGAGTTTTTATTATGGTGTTCCGTGCATAACACTGTTTTGAGTACTTCTTGTAGGGCTGGTCTTGTCTTGGTGAATTCTCTGAGACTTTGCTTGTCTGAGAATGTCTTAATTTCTCCTTTATATAAGCTTAGTTTTGCAGGGTATAACATTCTAGGCTGGGCGTTATTTTGTTTCAAAAGAGTGGGAGTGGGTCCCCATTCCCTCCTTGCTTGTATTGTTTCAGTTGAGAAATCTGGCTGCTATTCGGATTTGTTTTCCTTTGTATGTAACTTGCTTCTTTCGCCTTACAGCTTGTAGGAGGGTCTCTTTTGTTGATATTTTGGTCAGCCTGATGACTACGTGGCATGGTGTTTTCCTGTTTGCATTGTATCTCCCAGGAGTCCTTTTGGCCTCTTGTATTTCTAATTCTAGGTTACTGGTTAGACCTGGGAAATTTTCCTCAATTATTTCTTCAAAAAGCTTATCCAACCGTTGGGTTTTTTCTTCTTCCTTCTCCGGTATCCAGTGGACCTGCAGGTTATTTTTCTTTGTGTAATCCCACAATTCTTGTAAGCTTTGCTGATGTCTCTTATTTTTCTGCTCTAACTCTGTGATTAACTTATTTGATTTGAAGGAGTTGTCTTCAACCTCTGAGATTCTTTCTTCTGTTTGGTCCACCCTATTTTTGAGGTTTTCCACTGTGTTTTGAATTTCCCTGAATAAATTCTTCATATCGAGGATGTCTGATTGATTCTTCTTCAAGATGTAGATCACCTTAGTGAATCTTTGTTCCAATTGTTGTATCTTGTTTGTAGTTTCTTTGTGTTGGTTATCTATTTTTTCTTGCATATCATTGAGCTTTCTTACAATCCAATTTTGAAATTCTTCTGTCATTTTAGTGTTTTGGATTTGTTCAGACTCCTTTTCTTGAGAGCTGGTGCATCTCCTAGGGGGAGTATTTTCAGTTTGATTTTTTGAATTGTGTTGGGCCCTCCCCATCTGGGTCAATTGCTAGAGCTCAGGCGTCCAGTTTTTGTAATTTCTTTATCAACCACTTGGGGGAGCTCTTCCACCACACTTGGAAGGTTCCCCTGACAAGGGTAGTTTCAGTGGTTTCTCCCTAGATTTTGGGGAGAGCAGGTTTTCTTGTCTCGCCCTGCCTCCAAGGGTGGAGCTTACCACTTCGGCAAGAGAGATGCGGGCTGAGGGGAGGTGGTATCTCCCCAGTCTGCCCTGCACCCCCGCGCCCCAGTGGCTGTCACTCCCCTCGGCTGTGAGACTTGTCAGTAGTTCGTTGATGGAGCCAGGCCTGGCGAGCAAAGTAGATTGTGTAGGGGCGGGATTTGCCAGGAGAGACTCTCGGCTGGGCGGGGCGGGGGCTTGTCTGTTGATGGCTGGGCTGTGGACCCCTCAATGGCCATCGCTAGCGCACTCGTAGGGCACCAGCACTGGGGGGCTGATTAGGGTGCGGCTGGAGCTGGGTTGGGGGCCTGGGTCAACAGGACGCCCCATGGGCTCCTCCACGCCGCCTGCCCGCCGGCCTGCTCAGCCAGAGCCTCGCTTTCCTGACCCGCCCTGTGCGGTTTTGTTCACCCAGGGCAGTTCCAGCCTAGAGCCCCCGCTGAGTCTCGCAGGTTACCAGAGGCGAGACCTCTAGCCGCCTCCCCGGTCCGCACGGATCGGTTTCCTCCCGTCTTGGAGCCGTCCTAGCGGGCTCAGGGGAGACCACGCCGCCTTTCACCATCGACCGCCCCTCCAGCACCCCCTTCTCCTGCTGCGACTTCGCACCAGTTGAAGGCAGGGCCCTGGCTGGGTGGGGGTGGAGGTCAGTGGGGAAGCAAGGAGTTCTCCTGTGGGTCCGATCCCACTTCACCCCCTGGCCGGCGCCCCCCCACGCGCTGTCGTTTGCTCTGCACTCTCCAGAGAACACGAGGTTATCTCCCGATCACCTTGTTTATCCTTGTATGAGAGTCCCGCTGCACCTCCGCGGGTTCTCCATGCTGTCCTTGCAGTGGGAGATCCACTCGCGTGGGAGACCAGGCTCTGTGTCCCCTGCTCTGGGAGCAGGAGTCCCGGGTTGCCTCTACTCCGCCATTTTCCCGAGTCACATCTTTTAATTGCAATTCTCTTTCCATTGCATTACACTGTTTTTGTTTTTAAAGAAAAATTTCAGCAAATGGTATTGAAATAAGGTTTTAAGGAGAAAGTGAGGAAATAGAGGAGTGCCTTCTGGGGTGCCGGATAAGGTCCAATAGTTTTAATCATTTTAAAATGCTGATAAAATAAAGATATAATCAATATTGTTAGGAAGAATGTAAGGAAAGTTGAACAAAGTAAACTTTTGAAATAGAATCCAAAGTGCCCAACAATGGCTTTTTATTAAACCTCAGTGAGAAATCTAAGGAAATTATCTATCTAAATATATATATATAACTTTGTCAAATTGTAATTTTATATATTTATAGGGTGAATGTGATGTTTTGATATATGTTTGTATTGTGGAATGAGTAAATCAGGCTAATCATCACCTCACATACGTATCATTTTTTGGTGGTAAAAACATTCAAAATGTACACTTTAGCAATTTCAAAATACACAATGCATTATTATTTATTATAGTCACCATTCTGTTCAATAGATCACTAAACCTTATTCCTCCTGTCTAGCTGAAAGTTTGTACCCTTTGATCAACATCTTTCCTTTACCCATCTACACCCTTCCCCCGGTGTCTGGTAACCACTATTGTTAATACACTCTCTACTTCTATGAGATCCACCTTTTTATCTCCCACATGTAAGTGAGATTGTGCAGTATTTGTCTTTCTGTGCCTGGCTTAAGGAAATGATATATTACTAACTACTTACCTGTTAATCTATGAGAATACATACCATACTTTTGGTTTTTCTCTAGAAAGTAAAGGAGTAAAAAGCATGGTTCACTAAGCCCCTTTATTTCTGATTTCTAACCCCATTAATTCAGAGTTTCTTAGACCACCATCATGAAAATGAATGTAGTGCTTGTAAAAATGCAGTTTCTAGGCGATCCTTCAAACTTACTGAATTATATCTCTTAGGGATGGGACCTAAGAGTGAGCCCTGTAACAGCCTCCTCAGATGACTCTGAAGTACAATAATGTTTAAGAACCATATTTAAGTTTTACTCTTCAATGTTGACTAATGATTTGATACTAGAGATAAAGTAAAAGATGGTCTTGTGCATTACTTAGGTTTTAGTGCCATTTCAAAAGGTGGCTGTGCTGTGTCCTTCACAGTGATTTTTAGTTCCACAGTTACGTGAAATAAATATTTCATTGTATGTAGCAGAATCTGACAAGCCTACCAAAGAAATTTCTTAGAACATAAAAGGGCGAGTCTGTAAAGTGTTGAGGTAGGTCCTTTGCATAAACCTATGGGAGTTGAGTAATGGACAGTATGTCTGTTAGAATTCTATAGAATAAATTGACTTACTTCAGAGATGGAAAAAGGCCACTGAGCAGAAGATAGCAAATTTTTTTTCTGTAAAAGTCAAGATAGTAAATATTTTAGGCTTTGTGGGCTATATAGTCTCTGTTGCAACTATTGAACTATTGTAATGTGAACATAGCCATAGACAATAAATAAATGAATGAGCATGGCTATATTACAATAAAACTTCATTTACAAAATTTTATTTACAGTCTGTATTAGGCTTGTGGACCATTGTTTGCTAATCCTCTAACACAGAACATTTAGCATGTGATTCAATCAATATTTAAAGTAAAAAACAATAGCACAAATACTGAATAAATTTATCTGTATTTATGTGAAAACATTGATAAAGTAGATAAAAATATAGATACAGGGTTTCATTTGCTTTCTGTTCTATTTTTCTTTGCTTTCTGTCCCCATTTGTGACAGATTTTCCCTTTCATGACTAATCAGTGTGGTGGATTGTAAATGTAGCCACAAAGTTGACCTCTCATCAGAAGGTTAAGTCTGTCACCACAGCCCTTCAAGCCAGCCCTGTGTTGTTCTCTGTCCACAGAAGTGGCAAAAGCGATGCCATGCGAGTTCTAACGGGAAGGGGCCTGCAGCTCCCACCCCCAGGCTGGGACTCCTGACGGAGAGTGAACATCCCTGCAGAGAGAGGTGCTGTGGCCACAGCCGTCTCACTGAATCAGGTGACGGTCACACGTGAGTGAACCCACCTGAGAACAGGTAAGCCAAGCGCAAATTATGAAGTCACGGAGTAGTGATTTAAATAAGATGGTTATTGTTTCAAGCCACTATGTTTTAGTATGCTTTATTATGCAGCTACAGATAACTGATACAAATAGATAGCAAGGTCATGAACTGAGAATGAAAAGGGGGAAGATGTTTTTGAAGTTTGATAGAAGGTATGAAACAGAGAAAGTATGAGGAGGTACATCATCTATGAGTGTCCAAGAATGAACTAGGGAAATATAGTAGGGTTCTGGAGAGTACTAAAAGTTCACTTAAGGTGAACAATGTATTAGTAGTTAATGTACTTAAAGGAAGGCCAGTCAGAATGCTTGTGTGGTTTTCCCCAGTAACCTCTCAGCTGTGCAGGTGCAGGCCAGGAGTAAGCAGACAGCTGGATTTAACCGTGGGTGCTGGAGTTTCAGCAGGGGAACATGGTAAGAGTAGAGCAAGGAACGTGAAGCACGCGTCTGCTATGATCAACAGGAGTGACGGTAATGGCGCACTGGGCGCAGAGCAAACTGGGGATTTGGTGACGCGAGAAGCCTTGAGAGGACCGAGGGATTGCCAGTCCCCGTGGGGTCAAGGAACTGTTGGGACAGAGGACTAGAAGGAATGAGCTGGAAAGAGGAGCTGGCTGCCGGAGAGTGCAGTGCTCCAAGTTAAAATCACGGATGGGGTGATGGTTTTGTGATGTGTCAGTCTGGCCGGAACTGTTTCCCCGGAACTCCGTGCCTGTGTGTGTCTGTTTCCGGAGGGTGGCTGGGCCGGCCACCTCGCTGTCACCCTCCAGAGGCGGGAGGGCAGAGCGCCTGGAGCTCCGGCGCCCTCGCCCGCTGCCGGCTCGCTGCACGGCCCTGGCGCGGCGCCCCCACCCGGATCTTCCTCCAGCCCCTCGGCCCTCGGCCGCTGCGCTTCCCCTACGGGTGTTGGCTCTGCGCGCTCGCGTCGGCGACGTGGAGGCAGTGCCAGGCTGCCTGGCTTTCCGCCCGTCCTTACGGGCTCCAGCGGGCTCTCTTCTCGGCTTTGTGTCGGCCTCCCTTCCCAGCGGCCTGCCCCGCGGACGCGAGGCTCCCGCGTGTGACACGGAGACGGCGGCCTCGCACAGCGAGCCTCCACGCCCTCGGTCTGTGCGGCGCTGCCCGTGTTCCGCCTCTTTGGTGGCGCTGTTTCTCTGGCTCAGCCCTCCCGTGGAGGGGTTCTGCTCGTTGGCACTGATGACAGGCCCAGGGCGCCCGTGTGAGTGCGCGGGAAGAGTGAACAGGCTCGTTGGAAGAGAGGCGGTCAAGCAAGTGGAAAGCAAGGCATTGCAAGGGGCGTCTCTGTGCATGTTGAATTCACCAAGAATGACCAAAATAGTGTTGGAGAGAATAATATTGAACTCGGAAGCTAAAATCCTCAAAAACTGAGAGGCCCCGAGGAGGCGGAAGAGGTCTGATGGCCTAAGCCTTCACGGGAAGGCCGCGGGGCACAGATGGCAGTGGACACAGATGACTGTTGAGGAGGAAACTACGAGGCACAAGGTGTATAGAAGAGTAAACTTGTGCAGCCCGCAGCTCCTTTGTGTGAAGTCCCTGCGCCCGTGCAGCAGGCCCAGCACTTTTCTGACCAGGTTATGCTGTGACTTGACTTTAATTATTGATCTGTGATCAGGCGGGGATCGACTCCAAAGTGAGACGAATCTAGTTAAAAGGAGGTGTGTGATGGCATCAGCTGTGGCCCGAAGCCCAGCTGCACCCGGTGCCAGGTGGGTACAGACCTGCTGCTTCAAGGTGGGGCGGGGGGCGGGGGACAGGGGGGCGGTACTCTCCAGGGCTGTCCAACCTGGGCTCCCTGCACGCTTGGCTGAGCACCTGTTGCGATTGCATCTTGGTTCTCCCTCTGAACTGCGCGTGTCTCCTAGTTCCTTACAGAAGCCAACCCTGAGAACACTCCCAGGAAGCCTTTTGCATGCACATCTCAGTCTTAAAGTTTGCTTCCTGGGGAAACTGACAATTCTCCTCCCTTCGCTTCTGGGGTTCCACGTTCCCTTGGATCTTGCGCTGCCTCACCATCTCCTTTCCCTGAGTCGTTTTCTGGGGTATCCTTGTCTCCCAGGCTTGTAAACATTAACTTTCTTTCTTTTTTTCTATTATGCATTCCTTTAGAGGTGATATCATTCTGACTCACGGTTTTAAATACCATATAAAAAAAATGGGCTGAAAAAACTTGGATTGCTATGTCAAGGCTAGGAGCCCACTTTTGAGATTAAGCATCATGAATTTAAAATGAGACCAGTTGGCAAGATTACATAACTTCTTTTTCCCTAGTCATACTCAGTTGTCTGATTATAAATAGGCATTTATTTGTTCATTGAATAAATACTTATTCACTTTCTTCTTTGTGTTAGGTGTTTTTCTAAGAGGAAAACATAGAGAACAATATAGACCAAAACCCTTGTCCTCCTTGGGTTTATATTCTGGCAGAGATAATCCATTCCTCAAATCCATTCCTTGTTGGCCAGTGGGTAGCACACAAATTCCTTGAGCTTTAGTTTTGTAAACTGTTGATTGGAGAGAATAACATCTATCTTGCAGGTATGCTTTGAAGTTTAAAAAGAAAATGTATAAAATGCTTGGGATCTTGTCCTACACATAGTAGGAATTCAACAAATGGTAGTCCATTTTTAAATAGAAATATCTTAGTTCACATATATTTTTTTCTTACTGCCTTGGATTTAGTTGCCTCTTAAGACTCTGCCTGGAATTTCAAATATTCTTTAACCGTGATATTTATCCTACATTAATAAAAAAAGATGAGTTCATCCTACCAATACATATTTAATGAGTCCCTACTTGGGGCACACAGCAATAACAGACAGTGTAACTTCTTCTTCTTCTCTTGCTGCAGGTGGAATGACTAGCAATCTGCTTTGCACCCGGAGCGTGCTGAAGAACACAAGCCTGAATGCGTGCGACCCGACCCTTTTCCCTGCCGTGCCCTCAACAGCCAGCCACGGAGTTGCCTTCGGCCAGCTCCACTCGCCCCTCTCGCAGAACCTAGATTCTTAAAAATGAGTTTATTGCATTTCCTCTTTTGAATTTTTTATAGTACACTAACAGTTTCACTGTGGCTTCAATGTCCGGTGCCGTCTTAGACACTAGCCAGTGGTTGGAAGCTCTCCGCTTTTAGGTGAGTCTCTCCTCCTTCACCTTCGCGACTCGCCACCTCCTGGTGACCGGCTCTCCACAGGTCCTTCTCAGTCCCTCAGCCCTCTTTTTCACTTGGTGTGGTCCTCCAAAGGACAAAGGTCTCGTCCTTTGCTGACTTTCCTTTCTGTGCCTCATCAGCACGGCCTTTCCTCCTCCCGGTGCTGCCATTTTTTAAACAACTTTTCTGCCGGAATTGTGTCTCCAAGGCTGTGTCCCAGCCAGCTCTCTGCTTCTCCTTCAGAACATCTAGCCCATTCTTGCACATAGTTCTCTTCTCCCTGCCCTTCCCTGTTCTCTTTCCTCCCTCCATCCTCCTTTGTTTCCTTTCTGATTCTCTTTTAATTACTGCTTTTCATTAGGGCAGCTGCATTTCACAGGGATAGAGCAGTCTAATGAGACAAGGACAAGACGGAGCCGCGGGTATTTATGCTTCAAAGCTTCCTTCTTTTATCTTTGTCCTTTGGATCTGAAGATTCTGTTTCCACTTATATTTCCCATGGGTGTGAATATCCAACTTCTACTCCCTTTGCTGTGTGGAAAAAATCTTATCTAAGGTCCCAGAGATTTCCTTATTGCTAGAGGCAAAGGCCATTTCTCCTGAAGATTTTGCTACATTCTCCATGATTCTTCTAGAATATTCATGATCTATATACTGTACCCCTTTTTACTTTGTTTCGTGCTGTCCTGACCCAAACATTAATCCGAATAGTGACAATATCCTTGAGCTATAGGTCAGGATTTCCATATTTATTAACTTTCCAGTTTGAAAACAGTATGAATTCCTTTCAGTTTGGATCTAATTGCTTCAATGTGTTAGTCTTTAGGCTTTGTATTAATTAGTGAGACCTCATAATGCATGTGGCTGAAGTCTCTGAGACATTTTGCTGCTTTTTGTGATGTTATTTCATGTTGTGTTTATAATTTATCTGACAGCAAAATATACGGCAATGTCAGCATTAGGGATAAAATGGGGGTTGAGTAGAAGCAGAGAAGGAGCTAAGCTTATTCTTTTCTTTCTCTATTGCCTTCTTTTTTCCTCCTGTCTTATATCTGGTTCTTTTTTCTTCCAGGAGACAAGGAAAGAGAAAATATGGGAAAGGAAGAAAGAGAGGAGAAGTAGAAAGA